GTGTGTGTGTGTGTGTGTGTGTGTGTGTGTGTGTGTGTGTTTAAACAGTTTGCTAGTCTGAGTTTTAGTAATCTTATGGGCCATTATAAACTAGAAGCTTACTCACCTCAGTTGCTGGAGTAACAGGTGTGTCTCTAACCATGTTCAAAATTAACAGTCGGATGTTTTTTCTATGTTTTGGTAGTTTGGTAAGGGTTTATTGGTAATTTCGCTTAAAGCTTTAAGTATAAATAAAATTCTCTGTTTAGACACAATGCTGGTTCATTCCTTGAATTTAGGAGCCTTCTTTGTTTCTGATTGATTCATAGGTCAGAGCCACGTAGCTTAACATTTAAATAAGTATTCTTCTGAAAGTGGTCAAGTACTTGACTGAAAAAAAGAGTAAAAATAAAGCCACAGTCTGAAGAAAAACTAGAAAAGACCTTCAGAAATCCTGAAGAGCTTTTGATCAAGACGACTTTAAAAGGTTACAAGAAAGTCTGACTCTTTGGAAGCAAAAGTCTGAAATAAAAAGAGAGGAATGAATTCAAACTTTTGCACTTTTGTACTGTTAAAATATAAATAAGGTAAAGAAATACAATTATTTCTCTGGATTTAAGATGCAGTTAAGTAAATACATTATCAAAAAACCTCTTGGTCAGAGTGATATTGAGCAAAATTGTATAGGTTGAAACTATTCACTTTCAACACAACAAGTACTTTGTCTCTGTACCTTAAAAATGTTAGAACCGAAGAGACCAATGTAGTTTTAAAATGAGATATTTTTCATTTTATTCTTAGTTATTCTTATTACCTTTGCACCATTTCAGTTTGTCTTTAAATGACTTGATCCCCACTGAACTTCTTTTTCAAAGTGTAACATCATTTTTAGAGAATATCAGCATTCATTGCTCTGATCTTTATTTATCAGCTGTAACATCACAAGGCTCACGCAGTGTTTTTCATGAAACCAGACTGAGGCAAATAATAGGATGTGGTGCTAATGCTTATTAATGTCAGGGGAAATTCATGACGTTTTGTGAAGCAGAAATGATTACCTTTTGTGTTTATAATAATATCAAACAAATTACTTACAAACAAGTACACAAAGCCTTGACATTCCCCTGTTGTTCTGTCTCAGCCTTGACTTGTTTGAGGCCCTGAATTAGGAAACACAAGCTGCCTGACAGCGTGTCAGATTTATTGTTTTAGAAAGCTGAACAGTAAACGGCAAGTTCTCTGAAAGACTCCCATATGGCCAATTAAGGACATTTTGTCTTACAGGCTCGTTCTTTAAGAAGTGATGCTTGGCAGATGCAGTTTTCTTCAACATTTTAATCGCTGGGATTAAATAACAAGTTGGAACCTATATTTAGATTCTTTATCACATTTTTATGCTTTTTTATGACTTAAAAAACAAATAAAATATGTTTACATACAAAGTCTTATAAACAAAAATCTTACCTGTTGTAGACAGCTCTTTGAAATATTCCGTTTGGATAAAAGGAGATTAATTCTGACTGGAGTGACAAACTGGGGCCAAGACCTAAGTTTTATAACATTTAAAGGGGCAATATTATGTGTTTCCTAGACATATATTGAAATTCTAAATGGTAAAAATGTGTTAGTGATATTTTATAACAATTTGTTTTACACTTCACATCTCATAGTTCTTTACCAATAGTCATTAGGTTATTTGCAGCAGTAGTTATCTGCAGCAATTCCAGGGCGGTCTGGGGCACTTCCTGCTGGAATTTCATAAAATTTCTGTCACAGTGATAACATTGTTTCAAACTGACAACTGTTAAAGCTTTATAAAATTGTTTGAATAAACCTTACAAAATTAAAACTTTATTTAATTTCTTATATGTTTTTTTTTGTTTCTTATTTTCATTTTTGCTGTGCTCAAACATTTGCGTTAGCTCATTAGATGCCTTTTAATAGCATCGCGGACTCATTACTACAAAAACCTGTATTTTATTAGCTTGAAGACAAGTAGAAAAATGATGGGATGGTCTCAGCGCATCTAGTGCTTAACATTGTGAGACTGCATCTCATTGTCATTCTGTCATGTGGTAGAGCAGGGCTATGTACATATTGGCTACACGAGGATGGCTGGAAATGGGGGGAGGCCTATTAAAGATAATGAATGGCTGTCAAGCACAGGCCACTCTGCATATACTGCATGTCACGTACAATGAGAATTTCTTTTGAAAGTTGAATTTACCGTGGAGAATAAAAATGTTTTTATTTTAGTTTTTCCTATTTCTTTCCTGAATTTTTTTATTGAGGTAAGCGATTTCATTAAACAAATACCATTTGGTCCTTTTAAAATAAGAGTTTGGTGAAACCACTATTATTATTAAATATCATCAAACTAGCTGTCACACATATTTGTTCCCTTGCAGCAAAACATATTCCCTATTTACAGACCTTTTGCTGAGATGTCTTTTTGTCTGCATTTCCTTTACTTATACACAATTTCATCACTCATCCATGAAGAGCACCGTCTTGTTAAGTTGACAACTAAACATCTGTTGACCTGTGCACAATTTCAGCCTCACTCCAAAAGCCGATATCCCCAGAAGGATTTGGAGGCAAATTCCTTGGCATGTTGGCCGTTGCTCTGAGTAACATCATTGAGGGCTGTTGTCTAGGTTTTGGCTCAAGGCAGTTGGTGTGGGCATATGCTTGGCAGGCCTATGAAAGACAACAGCAGCTCACGATTCACTGGCCACTAATTGGAGTGTCACTCCACCATGCTCAGAGATATGAATATGGCCTGTAAAGACGTACATAGGGACAAACCAATATTCGTGTTCTGTATCAAAATTTAATTTAAGAAGTAAATTCTGGATCGGTAATTGATTTTACCAGCTCATTACAAATGAATGTTGACAGCTAATTTACTCTTACAAGATTAAATATGAACATTATGAAGTGCTAAACCATTGATACTGGAGCTGCTCTAACTGTTGACAACTTACTGTAGATTTTTTTTTTCTTTTTGTGACAAGCCATGTAAAATTACACCCTCGTGTGCTGCTGTGTTGTACTCTGGATAAAAGTACAGTTGTATGTTTATGTTGCAATGTCTAAAACATATTTAAAATTATTTAATCATCGTTACTGTTGTGACAATCAGCACTTGACAAGAAAGGAGTGCTGAAACAGTATGTAATTTACACTTACTAGAAAGCCATATGATATTATGGACCTTTTTTTTTTTAGCATTTTAACATTTTTATAAGGCCCCTTTTAGAATAGTGAAAAATGCCAACACCTACTAACAACTAGCTCTGGCTTTAGCAGGATTAGCGTTAGCAGCACATCGCTAGGCGGAGGCACAACAAGCTCCTTGAATGCCGAAATAAGTACTCCGTCGTGATTCCCTCCCTTACGTAGTCGGGCTTCTCCAAAGGTTTGTTTCCGTGGACTAACAGCAAAACTGGACGTGTTCCTAAAAACTGCGCCACGTCCCCTAATGCGGGTTCAGAACTGGAGCAGGCCAGACCTCAGACCAGTGGAGAGGAGGAACTCCAGCTACAACTTGCCTTGGCTATGAGCAGAGAAGCTGCAGAACAGGAGGAACGCCTACGTAGAGGGGACGACCTGAGACTACAGATGGCCTTGGAAGAAAGTAAGAAGGAAGGTCCAGGCTCAGCGAAACTCCCCAAGAAGAAGAAAGAGCCACAATCATCTTTGATGGATCTGATGGATGTCCCTGAGCCAAGTGCCAGGGCTGACCCGTGGGGCGGAGGCGGGGCCGGTGCTGGGGCCGCAGCTGCAGCAGCAGACCCATGGCATCCTTATGGGTCTGCACCCAAACCAGCTGTACCCTCTGACCCGTGGGGCGTTCCATCTTCTGTCCCATCCATGAAAAGCAGTGATCCATGGGCGTCAAACTCCACTCCTGCCTCTGATCCCTGGGGTTCTGCAGCTGCCCGCCCCAAGACCTCCAACACAGGTGGTTCTGCTCCAGCTTCCCACGTCAACCCGTTCCAAGTGGGCCAGCCGGTTCCCCCCACACTCAACCAGATGCACGTCAGCCCGATGCCCTCTGGCTTCGGTGGCGTGGCGGAGCCCCTGCCCCTCTCCTCCACTCTGCCTGCCTCCATGGTCCGCCTGGCAGGGATGGCCCCCATGGGTCGCGGGGTGCCAGGAATGGGCGCCGCGGGAGCAACGGGGATGAGCACAGGGATGAGCGCCGGGATCCCCGCCTCCATGTCCATGCCCCAGCCGCTGATGAGCATGCCCCCCCAGGCGGGGACGCAACCTGCCGGAACCACTAACCCCTTTCTTTTGTGAAAAGGTGACGAGGCGAGGCGATCCGCCCCTCCTCCCACCTCCGTCGCTCATACGCTCCTTGAGAAGCTTCAACACGAACGAGRACATATTTGATCCCATGTATCCACGTATATAAGCCACTCCTGACCAGGTGCAGCCTGGTCTGCTACTAAACCCCMCCACACTTCCTGACTGCTTTCCTCCCCCTCCCTCCTGAAGCTACTCGCTGCCTAGTCTTTGGTGTTCCAGGCTGATCTGAAGATGATGCAGACACCTCCCAAACTTCTAACTATAAACTGTCAAAAGTCACAGTGGTGGTCAGTCCCCCCCCCACCCCCCGAGGCAGGACAGAACCAAGTCTTCCTCCACCTCTTCACCCAACGGACCACTCCTCTCCTCTTTTAGAGACAGTGAGCAGTGTGGAGAGACTGACAGAGAGAAGCAGAGGCACAGAGACAGGCCAGGTTCTCTGTGTTTCCTGTTGTTGCAATAAAACTCAGCTGATCATCCTATGGAGTACCTTCATTCTTGTGACCAGCGTATTTAAATATCACATTCTTGTGACCAGCGTATTTTAATATTAAAGTGTTCTATGTGCTTTCAACTGATATCAACGCTCTATGTTATAGTCTCTGGTAATAAACAGCCTAGGCCTGCATCACCTGTGATACAAACAGTGTAACTGGGTACATTTCTAATTTTCAATAAGGATGTTGCAGTCTGGGTTGCAAGAGTGGTCACAGCTCACCTTTTTGCAATAGAACACACACTGTTGCAAACAATAATATCACATGTAGACTCTTCAAGATGTTTAACAAAAGCTCAGACATGAAGGTAATTTACCTAAAAAGAAAAATGGTAATTTACTATTAATACCCTAATGAATAAAGAGTAAGATAAATATTGACAGTGGCATGATACAAAATTAACATTTCGTATCTTAAGACAGTTTTTACCCACCTCTGGCACCCAAGAGCCATTTAGTGCCTGTGAGAACGTTGTCACTGTATTGGTGTCATTATTTTGGAAACGTTGCTTTGTTTTGTGTTTTGGGTCTGTTCCTGTTTGCATCATGTCTTGAATAATTTTGGTTATTCTGTCTTATAATAGTCTTAATATTTTAGCACCTAGATGTCATCAGCAAACCTTGGTTTCCACTCCATATTCAACTATTCCGAATTTATTATCACATCAGTCTTCTCAGCCATATACTCCCATTTGCAATTCAATGAAACTGTGACCCATTTGGCCACTTATTGTTTGACAGCTGTGTCAGGAGAATCCTGAAACAGACAAGCCCTGAGACATCTTTCTTCTGTGTGATGGGTTGTCTCACCACCGGTGTCCACCAGCAGGCCCTTTGGTTGCTGCCATGACAAGAACCAGTAATCATTTGGTCATGGCACCTATTTACTGCATCTTCAGTGAAAAATGTACACATAGCCTATTCAGTTTTCATAACTCCAACTTTCTCCTCAGATGGATAAACACTTCTCACAAGTTGTACATCTTTTAAACAGAGGGGGACCTCTGCCAGGCATTTCTGATTTACACATATTGTATGGTTGGTCTCGCAGGTCTAATAATGACAAAATTTCTTTGTAACCTTTGGCAAAAGGTGACCTGGTAACAAATATATTTATGTACTCCTATTTGTGTTTATCTCTCTAAGTATTTGTATAGTAAGAAACCCTGTCTCACCTCCCACCAAACACTCATTATGCCAAATCTCACCTTCAGATAAATAAAAATTTTACTCACATTTATTTTAGCTAAGTCAAAGTTCTGGCCTAAGTTTAAAAAAAATAACTGTTGGGGAACAAAGTTAAATGCCTAAAATATGTGAGAAATATTATTATTCTAATGTTGAAACTCTTCTCTACAGAAAAATAGGTACTATTTAGTCACCCCTAAAAATCCTTAAAAGCCTACTGACATTTTTTTTAATTTTATTTCATGTAAGGATGTCAAGCTAAAAGTAAAAACAGGAGGAAGTTGTCTGGCACCCTGTTTATTTTTGTTTATTTTTATTATTTTTTAAAGCCCCTGGTAGTGTCTGGAAACATCTGGAAACGTTTAAAGGCAGAAACTGCACCATTTTTGCCCACGGGTGCAACAAAGATGCACAGGACTCGTTGACACCTACTATATATCGTTGTATTGCTGCACATTAAGGGTCACACCATATACTGAAAAGGTCATCACTCACAAATTTTCCTTAACAAATAAGTAAAACATCAGTTAACATATCCTGTATTTTTTCCATTTTATTAGAAAATATGTTGGAAAAAACGTATACATTTTTATCTATAATTAGGAAAATATTCACTGGTTCTTAGGCACGATGCCCTGACTTTCATTGTCCTCACACTCTTGACCCTGATCTTGCCGCACATTGTAATTGGTGCATCGATTTGACTCATAGTTTGTCAGCGGTACGTGTGTCTCTGTTTTCCATGTCTGGGGAGAGATTGATCTAATTAGAAGTCTTCATTAGTCAGCTGCAGAGTGCAGTGTCATCCTTAAGGAATGCTGTTCTGGCTCTGCATCCCCCACCCCGTCTCCCCTGAAACACAATACAGAGCTTTGTCTAAATAGAAACAGAGCACTGTTTTCAGCTGTGAGTGCAAAAAAAAGGGAAAGCTCAGAACTTGTATGTATAATGCAGTTTGGTTACAGCTTTCTTTATTCAATGCATGTTGCTGTGTGCTTGTTGTGTTTTTAACTGAAAGAAGTCGCAGAAACTACACCTTGTGTTTTCATTCATGGTTTCATTTTAGGTCGTATTGTTACAATAATATTATAATTCCAGCTGCTAAAAAAGGTAGCGCAACCTGGTTGCTGCCTGACCTGTTCACCTGTTCCCTATGTTTTGTTATGTGTGTCTTTTCTTGAATGGGTGTTGTTAACTACAATTTTGTTCTACATTGCATCCCTGATGTTATGTTTGAATGACAATAAAGATAATTCTGATCCTGATAATAAATGATATAGATATTGAATTTAACTATGTGTTTATCTAACATACAGACATTTAAATAAATTACATTTTTTAATGAAGGAAAAACAATATTTAACCTATAGTTTACTTACTCACTAACTCAAATTAAATTTTTTTTATAATTTCTGTACACAGCTTGAAGTTATTCAGTTAAAATTTAATTACACTGTTTACTTTTGTTTTAGAGCTATGAACATGCAAATAAGTAACATCCGGACAAGAAAGGATGCCACCCTGCCAGGATCGTGATTACTGCACTTACAAATTAAGAATTATCACTTGACTGGAGACACCTCACAGAGGTCTACTGACCATGGGAAGTGTAGATGAAAGGCATACATGGACTGGCAAAATGAGCCGCCTCAGTGTTGTTGCTGTGGTGACAGCTTTTTCTATGATTCCCGCTGGGCTGCTTAGTGACATGAACATGAGAGATCCGCAGGATCTGGACGGTCAACAATTCGCCCAGAGGTCCACTCTTTTGCACCATCGCCTGAAGAGAGGTTGGATCTGGAAAGAGCTGTTTGTCCCCGAGGAAGATCCTACTTCTCGTGTTATCGGCCAGGTAAAGCTTCAGTATTGAATGTCCGCCATGTCCTTGATGTCATGCTTCTCTTTGAAAATGCTTGTTTTCCAGTTACATGTAGATTAAAAAAAACTCTAAAACTCTAGTTCCTGTCCCTTTTTTTAGCTCAAATCTGACTCTGATCGAGGAGACTTCTCCATCAAGTACATTTTATCAGGAGAAGGTGCTGAAGATCTGTTTGCCATAGACGAGTTTACTGGTGAGATCCGAACGCTGAAGAAGTTGGACCGTGAAGAGAAGGCCTTCTATGTCCTTCAAGCACAGGCTATTAACAGGAAGACCAATGAGCCTGAAGAACCCCAGTCCGAGTTTATTATCAAAGTGCAGGACATCAATGACAACATGCCTCGGTTCGAGAACGAGCCTTATGTGTCCAGCATCCCTGAGATGAGTCCAGTTGGTATGTATAAAAGCGATATGAGAAAATGTTGAAAACACACAGATTGCATGTAGATCAGTTAATGGACTTGTGTCACATAAATGATCAGTGAATAAATAAATAAATAAATAAATAAATAAATAAATAAATAAATAAATAAATAAATAAATAAATAAATAAATAAATAAATAAATAAATAAACAAGAAGAAATCTATACTACAGAAGAGACGTACGCTTTTAGATAATTCCTTTTCACATTTGTTTTTTTCAGCTGTGCTCTGTGTCAAGTGGAACTGCAGAGCTTTGATCTTGAATCCTAGTTTATTGTTGGTCCACAAGCCCCTTTTTTCACCCCTGTTCTGAGGTGTGTGTGAGAGCAACCCAGTTTTGGTGCCGACTTTCTAAATACAGTATAGGCACTTACAGGTCTCACTCCCAATGATCAATGTTCACACCAAACCGTATGGCCAATTTTGTTGTTAGGTAGCATAGAAACAACACAGAAACTTTTTTATTTACAAATTGATTAAAAAACATCAAAAACTTACTCTGATCCTCGGAGGAGAATGAAGATGACGAACCTTCAGGGTCGCAGAATTGCAAAACTGGATAGCCGGATGTCTATGACCTTTAATAACAATTCCGCAGCAAATGCTGTGACGTAATTGTTCAGAAAACATAATAGACAATAAAGAAAACTGAACAGGTTGAAAAATAGGACCCAAACAGAATAGAAAAACTAAATACAAATAGGAAAGACTAAATACAAATTTTCAGCACTCCTACAGACTCCAAGTACACAATAAAATGCATTTATTGCTTACAAATTGGATTTTGTTTAATATGTCCTCTTTAAGACTTTTTTTAACCGTTGATGAGCTGAATCAACCATAAGACCTCACACCTGAAAATATTTATTAGTAAATCCAAATTGTGATTGAGTGCATGAGTAATTATCAGTCCCATTCATCTTTATGTGGCCCTGTTATGGAATTTCAACCTGTCCAGGGTGTACACCACCTTTAGTCCAATGATGCTACACCAGATGCCCCGACCCTGCCTAGAAAATCTGTAAAAACAAACAAATGAATGGATTAATGAATGTTAACATAGAATTTACAATAAAAAAAAATATATATATATATATAATGAAACTATTCAAAGAAAACAGACACAATACATCCTATATTCGGTCTAGACAAATCTCATGCTTCCATATTTACTTAACCATGAGGTCTGTGTGACAAAAATTTTATTTTCTGTATCTGTTCACCAGTTCCTACTGAGCCATATGCAGGCCAGAATTATGTGACTACACAGACTGGGAATGTCAAAAACAGCATGCACGTCAATAAAAATATATATTCAATATGAGTTAAACTATGAATAAAGGAGGAAAAACATCATGCATGTTTTAAGAAAATACAGAGCGGCTACCCTCAATTAGTTACTTTCTCACACAGGAACCTCAAGGACGCAAACATTTCAGAAAAGTCTTGGTGAGAAATCACTCCAAGTTTGGCTAAGTCCCAGTGGCTTGCAGCCAGCACAGCCTTAGAATAAATTGATTATTTGAGCAGACCCTCACAAAGCTGGAACTTTTTCAACACCATCCCTGATTTTATTTGAAGCTTATTTTCGGTATTCCCTGAGTTTAGCGCATTTTGCTAATTGTGCAAGATGGATGGTTTAATAAGGCAGAAAATCTCAAAGTGCAGAATCAAAGCCAAGATGAAATAAAAGTCAAAAATCAAAAAGAGAATAAAATATATGTTCAGCTTGGGTTCAATGAACAAATTATTGTGGATTTTCTTTCTTTGTTTAGCCCTTGTTTTGTTGTGTTTTTAGTATTCCTTGTGTCCAAATGACAAGGTTTGTCCAGCCCTTTTACATGAAAAGCTTCTCTTTTAAGTTAAAACCTAACTAAAGCCAACACTGACAACTTTATGAATGTCTGTCATCAGTCCTTATTCAGGAAGTTAAAAGTATTGGATTATGCATCACAGCTTGGATGCCTTTATTGATAGAGCTCTTAAATAACATTATTATAACCATTGCCCTTTCATACCACAGACATTACCATTTCAATTTATATGTAATCTGCCTTTGCAGATTAATATCTCACTCATAATAAATCATGATGTATTTGACTAGGCGAGTGAAAGTGAGAGGGGAAGGTTGGAGTGAGGGCATCTGAAAATAAGGAAAGCAGCAGTAAATCCATGCCTGTGAATGAAAGACAGACCACTGACGGAAGAAAGAATGAGACACGGAGGAGGCAGGAGGGGGAGAGAGATATTTTAGAAAACAAGGTGAGGGCAAGGATACGGTCAGCATGGAAAAGGTGTGTAGGGGAGCGAGTAACAAGTGTGAAAAATAGAGAAATAAAACTGAATCGGGGAGATTAAAAGATAGTTGCTGTTGGGGCTGGAGGCGCTGTCACACACACCTGCACCAAGTTGTGGAAGGATAGTGGTTCCCCACCCCTATTTCTCTTTTGTCAACATCCTTCCTTTAACTCTCCCCCAGCCTCTGCTTTCTCATTTTTCCACCGCTTCCCCACCYCACCCCCCTCTGAGTCAGACAGACCCCGCGGGACTGTGGCATAATCACTTTATTTCCCTGTCGACTGGAACTGCTGCCTGAGTGTGCTCTGACAGTGCGCTCCCCGCCCCCCACAGGGACCACAGTGGCCCAGGTGACAGCCACAGATGCGGATGATCCCATGTTTGGAAACAGCGCCAAGCTTCTCTACTCCATCCTGCAGGGGGAGCCCTACTTCTCCATCGAACCAAAAACAGGTATGACCTTGTAAAATACATGTCAGTAAAGGACTTCATTTCTCACTTCAGGATGTTGAAGGATGATTTTTTTATTTATTTATTGGAATCGGTTTCTTTTAGTTTGAAAGTAGTATTATATTTCATTGCAACAACTGGCAAGTTCTGCTACTTTTTTAGTACATGATCAATGAAAAAAATGCATCATTAAATGCCCATAAAGTACTCTATATTCTGTTGCAGTTCAAAGGTTAGTCACAGCACCTCCCACCCACACAGTTGAACTTATCTGTGAATGGCTCAGAGAGGGCATCACTGACGTTGAAAAATAATGCAAATAGATGCGATATGTAAAAAGACAAATCTGACATTTCAGACAACCCATTGTAAGTTTTTATTTATTTATTTATTTATTTATTTATTTATTTATTTATTTATTTATTGAGCAGTAGGGATTGACTAAATGACTACAAGTTGTTCTGCTTATGTGACGACCTGTGAAGATATGTTTGTTTGTTTGTTTGTTTGTTTTTTTTCACTTTTTTTTCCACTGTCATAAAGTTTTTCAGTTCATAAAACAGCTTAACAGCTTAAACAACCTTATATTAATTATTTATGATACATCATCTTCAAAATATTTTTGCTGAAATAACAACGTAATGTCAAACTGACTTTGATGTAAAGTTTTTTTATTAATTTTTTTAACGTTTGCTTTAGATCACTATAACATTTTTGGGATCCGAGTTGTTTTTTTTCACTTTAAACTTGATCCTACTGGAATTAGCTGTTATCTCTTTGATTTGCTCGGAATTGAATGTGATCTCTCCATTTTACATTTAAAACCCAATAAACTTTAGAAAAAGTCAAGACCTTCAAGTCAATGTGTCATACTCAAGATGCCTTTAAAGGGCAAACTTCATCTAATTGTAAAACCAGATGATTTAGTACTTGATACRTTGACCTCAAAGGTGAACAAATAAAAATAAAAACAAACAATCAGCCTTTATCGTGGCCAGACAGAAGAAACATTAAGTCATCTCACAGCCCTCTTCACATTTAATTTGGACCTGATTAGATTTGAAAACTTAATGCTTGTTGTGGGTGGTGCTCTCAAAGACTGCTTGAGGCAATTTTGTTTTTCTTACATTTGCTTAATAAAAACAAATGCACAGAAAACCGCCCACAGATTTTCTTGCCTTCATAATGAACCCAAATCTCCCTTTTTTTGTCCATTTTTCTCACTGTGCTTCTYTTTCCTGCAGGGATTCTTGTAACATCTTGGCCTGACATGGACCGTGAGCTCAGAGAGGTGTACCTGGTGGTGGTGCAGGTGAAGGATATGCTAGGCCTCAGTGGCGGTTACTCCTCCTCCACCACAGTTACCGTCAGCTTGACTGATGTCAACGACAACGGACCCACATTTAAGCAACGTGAGTCTTTTATACGACTCCCGCTGATGCAAACGCTAGGCCGAACGCACAGGTAGACGATCAATAAAYGACTACAAAGTGTTGCAGACATCCAGGACATGTTTAATATTACACCTACAAGGTATTTATTTGATCGCGCTTCTATGATTCGAGTAGGTGGCACTTGCTCCCAGCGTCGCATTCGACTGTGCAGCCAAAATTAAAAAGCAGACAGTCAAAAAATGAGCGCGGGAGCTGRAAGAGGCGAGAGAGAGAGGATCGGGACGCTCCGCTCGTCTGCGTGCGCACACGCTCATGTGCCACACGCTGGATGAATTTAATCATTCACACATGAAAGGACATTTGTCATGACCTTTGGAAACAAACCGAGCCTTCTCAGCGATAAAYCCCGCTAAACGAATGCAGTGGGAAGAAATCAATTCTGTTGCAGAGATGGCAAGGATGAAGCTTTTAACTATTAATGTAACATTCACATTCATTGCAGGTGCTTGTGTCCTAGCTGTGTTCGGTGGAAAGGCCCTATAAATATTGGATGGCCACACTTCACTTTGAACTGTGCCCTCTGCTTTGTCACATAATTGCAAAATATTACCAGCAGTGCTTTTTTTTGAAGAGCAGCAGGTTGTCTGTTGCGTTCCTCACCAATGTGGCAGCCATCCAAACAAGGAGTCGTTCAGATACCATCACATTTTCTCATCTTCTTATAGAGTTAGGCTGGGATTATATGTGGTTTGCCACAACTTATCTGTGGCTGACAAAAATTGACCTTCCACCACAATGTTCTCCCTTTCTTATCACTACACCTCCACTGTACAGTATCTCTTGTCTGTTAGTCTTATTGTCAAGTTCCACAAAGTGTTATAGTGGTGTTTTTTTTTTAAATTAGTTGCTTTATTTTTCCAGACATATTGTCACACACTGACCACCAAATGCTGATGACCCAGATTTTTATTTTTACTTTCTTTATATCATAATTCAAATTTCGTCTAATGCTAATACACCCACATTGATTTCTTAAACACTCCTGTTTCCTCAGACCTGTACACATTTGCTGTCCCTGAAGATGCAGCGGTGGGCACAACAGTGGGCAGAATTATGGCAGTGGATCACGACATTGGCAGCAACGCCAAAATGACTTACAGCCTGAAGGAGGACCTTGAGGGAAGTACCACTTTTACCATCAAAACAGACCCAATGACGCAGGGAGGCGTTGTTCTGCTTGCCAAGGTGAATACATTTAGAAGTAAAGGCCCAGCATTCCCTGAACAGATATTGTTCTTTTCACCCAGAATTTTAAAATAAAACTATTTTATGATTGGAACGATGTCTTTGGTCAAACTTAAAAAATAAAATATGACATGTAATCTTTTAAGCAATCCTAAAGACAGTCAACCAATAGGACACTAAAACTTTAGCTCAATATGTGTAAATCTAGCTGAGTTACAGCCACTAAAGTTAATTAGCTGTGGCAACTATCTTAAATTGGACTAAATTTAAACATTATTCAGTTGTAAATTTGCATCCATTGATCATGTACCTAAAGATTCATTAAATTCAATTTAGAGATTTTCCTAAAAACATACAAAGTTGACTCTAAATAGAAAAAAATGGTTGGGGGTCACTATGCTACTACCACACCAACTGTTTAATGAAATTTAAGTTTGTTTCATTTCTGTGCTTTATGTTTTAGTTCTTTTTGAGTGAGAGAATTTATGTAAAAATAAAAAAAAATCCATTTGAATATTAAGTATCTTGTCACTGTATTCATTGAAAATAGGTTGAAAATTAGTTTTATTTTTGTTTAACACAACATCCCAATTGCATTGAAATTGGGGTTGTAAACATTAGTGTGTCTTTGAATGTTAGTTGCCTGTTGCAGCTGTCGTCTATTGGGTGAGTTCCAAACATTAAGCTGTGGCTGATGTATATCAAATAATTATTATTTCCAAGTTCCATTCATGTTTTGTACAATGAGTCATGCAGTATTTTGGAAACATATGTAGAATGTGCACACACAGACAGTTGTGGGCAAAAACAATATCATCTGCCTTTGTGTATTGTCAGCTTGTGATATTGTTTGTATCCATGTAATTTGTATCACATTTCTCTTATTGTAAGCAACTTGTTGAAATGGTTATGGAGTTAAAATTCACAAAAATTGATAGATTGTGTCTTTTAGGGCTTGTTGCTGAAGCGTTGCTGCATTTCAGCCTTCATCCAAATGAGKATTTTTGCTGCCTAAACAAGCTCTGGTTGTGTAGTTTGTCCTCATTTAGCAGGATCTGTTTTCCTTCCACCCACAGGTGACAGTCAGCCAGCGAGGCAAATCAAAACATAGACCCTTAATCTRCTTTGCAGAAAAATTCTGAGAACGATTAAAAAAATAAAAAAGCAGACGAAATCCAGGAAAGAGTGAGTTAAACGACAGCAGGAACAAAGTTCCATGCCKATTTAATCAGAGTGACATACAATGTGATGCACTGCAGCACATTTCTTGTCAAAGACTGAACAAAAAAAAAAAATACTTTTTTTCAAACTTCTTTTTTTTAAAATAGCATGAAACAAGTAAACAATGACAAAACACCAATCTGAATGTAATGAYTGATACAAACACATCCATTAGAGTCACACTCTCAGCTACCCAGGTGTGGTGATTAAAAAGTCTCACCTGCTGCTTGTAAGTCATGTTTACAATGTTGGATTGATTAAAATGATCAATCATGTCCTGCTTTTATCTACTGTAAGGAAATACGAGTTCAATAACGGTTGAAATCAGGTGAAAACACAAGTGTTAAATAAAATGATCTGTGATAGAAATAAATGCCATACAACACCAGAATTCTGGAGTGAGGGTTTTATTCAGCCATGAGCTGGCAAGTCAAAACCACACACTGAAGTCATAACAGGAAGTGGCCTAATAAATACAGAACCTTCAATGCCCGAGTCCGCCTCTGCTGGCCTAAAGCTGAATCACAGGCATTCRTACAGACATTATTCAATCTGATGTTAATCCAGCTTTAATTATGTGTTGTTATTTTCGGACATGTATCTACCCTATTTCAATTAACACATTGTAAGAAATATAACAAACATTATAAAGGTATTATACAGTAGAAAACCCTAACTCTGTGTTGTRTTTAATCAGTACTAACTATAAATTTCTTCACTACCTTTAATTTTTGTTCATCACCATGAGCAGTGACTTATTGCTGGTTGTTTTACGACAATTAGGACAACAAGTCTGTGTTTTTAGTCCTTGAATCATGTCTGTGAAATATTGGGAAGAAATCAGTGTGATTTCAGAAGTCATGAGATTTCAGGCAGAGAACAGTTTTTAATTAAACAAGCATARACATCAATTTATTTATTTATTGCAGTCCATTTCAGTCATATAATGAACAATTTCTGCAATGACTCATAAAATGTTTACATTAGAGCCAACTCTTAACACTCTTGACTAGGACACAACTTTTTTTTTCAGTGGGGATTTAAAAAATCACAACCCTAGGATTTCCGTGGCTCTTCCTGTTCTTGCAGAATTAGATGACATTAGATTAGTTTAGACCTTTATTGTCATCGTACAGAGCACAATGAAATTACAGTTCAGAACACCCATTCAGAAGACAGAGCATAACAAACATAGGAGAACAGGCACTCTGGGTCATGCAGCCACAGACCCTGCACAGAGCAATGATCTTCTTCATGAAGACATCATGAGGAGGGACAACCCTTAAAAGAATTWAAAAAAAAAMCTAAAAACCACACAAGAGAAGATGAGGGGAAAATGTTAGCATGTACAGCAAGAGGAGAGTTAGAATGCTACAGGGCTAAAAGTCAATCTGATGAAATAAAATAAGACAAATTGATTTTCTATCTTTGTTTAATTAAAAAAAGAGAAAAAGAAAAATTTCACAGCAACCAAACAAGACAAGTTTTGCTAACCAAAAGGCAAAGACCAAAAATAGACTAGGAGCAGTTTCATGTGACAGATTGCATCTTGGCAGGACACAGTTACTTCCTAAATACCCTCTAGTTGCCTGAMAACTTACAAATAGCAACAGAACAGCAAAAGATTCCCAGAGAACAATGACATTTTCTGACAGAAAATAATTCGTTTAGGAGGAGTAATGGTGGGCCAAAGGCTGATACTGTATGACTTTTCATTAAAACTTCATATTGAAGGAACTGTAAGTTCAAAAGTACAGTACACAGAGACCATCTGAGGGGTCATGTTTTCATGGGTAAAATAAAAAAGTATAATAGATTTGAGTGAATGGAAGGGCTTTGAAAATGATCAGATTCCCAACTGTTTCTTATCATATTTATTTGTTTAGTGGGAAATAATCATCCACATGGACCTAAATAGTCCTAAACTCTTGRCATATAAAACATCGCATGGCATAATCAATTTCCACCCATGGAATGCAGATTTTATAAAAATCAAGTAAATGAAAAAAAAAAAATCAACATTCACCCTTCTATTTTTTTTCATAATTTGTGGATTTATGGTCAAAAATAAAAGGATATCACAGTAGATATAAACTGTTATTAAACTTTATACTTAATCTACAGTGTATATA